ATGGTAGACTAATTAGTAAAATTGGGTCACATGGAATTCAGGGTGAACTTGCCAATTGGATACACAATTGCCTTAACTGTTGGAGGCAGAGTGGTGGTAGAATGTTGCTTTTTGAACTGGAGGCCTGTCACCAGCAGTATTCCGCAGGGATCAGTTCTGTGTTCTCTTTTGTTTGTCATTTATATAATATAAAATATAGAAGGCATGCTTAATAAGTTTGCGGACGACACCAAAATTGGTGGCATTGTAGACAGTGAAGAAGGTTTCCTAAGATTTCAAAGGGATCCTGATCAAATGGGTCAATGGGCTGAAAAAATGGTGGATGGAGTTCAATGTGGATAAATGCGAGATATTGCATTTTGATACAACAAACAAGGGTAAGATTTGTACAATTAATGGTATGGCCTTAGGTCGTGTTGTAGAACAGAGGGACCTGGAGGTGCAGGTACATAATTCTTTGAAGTTTGCATCATGTAGACAGAATGGTTAAAAAGGCGTTTGCCATGCTTGCCTTCATTGCTCAGTCCTTTGAGTATAGAAATGGGGAAGTCATGTTGAGATTGTACAGGACATTGGTGAGGCCTCTTCTGGAATACTATGTGCGGTTCTGGTTGCCCAGTTATAGGAAGAATATTATTAAGCTGGAGAGGGTTCTGAAGAGACTTACCAGGATGTTGCCAGGAATGGAAGGTTTAAGTTATAAAGAAAGGCTGGGACATTTTTCACTGGAGTGTAGGACGTTAAAAGATGACTTGAAAGAAATTTATATAATAATGAGGAAAAGATAGAGTTAATGGTAGTTATCTTTTCCCTCGGATGGGGAATTTCAAGACTAGAAGGCACATGATTAAGGTGAGAGGAGAGATTTACAAAAGACATGAGGGGCAATTTTTTTTTTTACACAGAGGGTGATTTGCGTGTGGAATGAACTTCCTGAGGAAATAGTGGATGTGGGTACAGTTATAATGTTTAAAAGACATTTGGTTAGGTACATGAATAGGAAAGGTTTGGAGGGATATGGGCCAGGAGCAGGCAGGTGGGACTAATTTAGTTTGGCAAGGGCTTGTTGGACTGAAGGGTCTGTTTCCTTGCTGTATGATTCTATGAGAGAGTCCAGTAGGACTGTGGTAACTTTACACCCAGGATTATCCTCCTTGCACAGCCTGTAAATGTGTGGTGTATTGCTGTCTGATCTGTTTGTGCCTTTTTTTTCAGCGAATCCTGACTGCAGATTTCTGTGAGGGCTATAAAGTCACCAACATCGAAGAAATTGAGCGCCAGGGTTTAAGTGTAAAAGATGTGAGTGCTGATTTTTTTTTTTATTGCCCCCACTCGCCCACTTCCTCAGATTTACTCCTTATCCCTCCTGAAGGCAATGGTTTGTGTACAAGCAGTAGAAGCCCTGTGGATACTCACACCCTCCCAAGTGATCAGAGGGTAGGGAAGATCCCAGATCAATCTCCACACTTGATGTCCACAAACAACGCACTCTAGAATTATTGCATGGGTAACGGGAAGGGGAACCATCTAAATCTAATTATTTTTCAGTGTTAATCTTAGCCCTATCTAGCTCCTTTTTATAGGTTCTATACAAATTGAAGCTTATTGTTGTTGGATCCATTGCTTGAGCAATCCAAAATAAAACTCAACTAACTTGTCAGCTTTCCTGATTAGCATTCTGTTTCAAAGCTTTTAAAAGACACTTTTCCTGTGAAGATGTGGAGGTCTCTTCCCAGCAACTGCCCTGTGTGAAAAAGTCCTGTGCTCATTGAAAACTCTGCAAAACATTTCTATTGGCCTGAACACTTTTTTAAAAGGTACTTCAGGAAGTTTAAAAGAGGATTGAAAGTACTGGGTTGAAGTGAGAAAGGATATTTGGAAAGCAAAAAGGGGGTATGAAATAATATTGGGTGGTTAAAATTAAAAAAAATCCAAAGATGTTTTATTAGCGGATTAAAAGCAAGAGGAAACTTAAAAAAGGCCTGTCTGAGATGTACATGATAACTTGTATAGGGTTATAAATGAAAATTTTGCCTGTCTTCATAAAGGAGAGGGATGGTGCAGATATTCTAGATAAAGAGGAACGGTGTGAAATGTTAGATAAAATAAGCATAATGAGAAGGGGTAAGTACTTCAGGGGCTGACCTCCTTGAAGGTAGGTAGATCACCAGGGCCAGATGAATTGTATCCTAGGCTATTACAGGAACCCTGAGAGGAAATAGTGGAAGCTTTGATGATCACTTTCCAACCCTCACTAGACACAGGTGAAGGATTGCAGGTTTGCAGATGTTGTACCATTATTCCAAATGGGTGCAAGGGATAGCCAAATAATGGATTGACTAAACTTACTTATTTGGAACCTGTAGTTAATTGTATTTAAGATGTTAATGTCAAGAGGTGAGGTTTCCATTTGTAACAGTCGTTGTCCATTTTTTATGGTGAGCATACTGTTATGGTTGGTGTTATGACCAGATCTTCAAAAATGTTCCCCAACTTTATTATGATTTCAGATGGGATACCCCAAACAAATGAGAAATAATCTGACTCCCTTAGCTGGGTTGCAGCAGGTTAATATGAAAATTCCATTGGGTACCTTTTTGGATACCTTTCCTGCAGAGCTAAATTAACTTGTTTTAAAAGGAACCCATTTAACCAGATTTCCTGGAATTAATAGATGGATGGTTCAAAAAATTTATGCCAATCAGTCTCTGAAATGCTCATGAAAAGCAGGTAGATGAACATTGCAGCCCTTGTAGTGGATGTTACCAATAGTTTTAACATTGGTAGGTGAACATAGAACATAGAACATAGAACAGTACAGCACAGTACAGGTCCTTCGGCCCACGATGTTGTGCCAACCTATTATCCTACTAAGATCAATCTACCCTGCATACCCTACATTTTACTATCCTCCATGTGCCTATCCAAGAGTCGCTTAAAATTCACTAAAGTATCTGACTCCACTACCACTGCTGGCAGTGCATTCCACGTGCCCTCCACTCTGTGTGAAGAACCTACCTCTGACATCTCCCCTATACCTTCCTCCACTCACCTTAAAATTATACCAACTCGTAATAGTCATTTCCGCCCTGGGAAAAAGTCTCTGACTATCCAATCTATCTGTGCCTCTCATCATCTTGTGCACCTCTATCAAGTCACCTCTCATCCTTCTTCGCTCCAATGAAAAAACCCCTAGTTGCTTCAACCTTTCCTCATAAGACCTGCCCTCCAGTCCAGGCAGCATCCTGGTAAATCTCCTCTGCACCCTCTCTAAAGCTTCCACATCTTTTCTGTAATGAGGTGAGCAGAACTGAACACAATATTCCAAGTGTGGTCTAACCAGTTGAGCAGTGGGCTTCACATTCCTTATATTTCCACTTTGGTTGTGATTCTGTAGTTCTGATCCCTTTCAAATATCATCGAATTACGAGCATCCAGGATGAGAGTGTGACCTTTTCTTCTCCTTTGTTGGTTGCAGCGTTCAGTGTGAAACGGTCTTTACCTGCAACGCAGGAGTAATTAGGAATAGCGCACTAACATTCAAACAGACTGGTACCGATAGCATTCAGTCTCACTAGTGCACTCTCCAAATTGAAACTGGCTTTTTAATCCCTCTTCTTCTGTAATCTGCAAAGGGGAAAATGTAAAATGTCTGCAATTTGGGACATAAATTTATAGGGTATGGCTTACTTTCAGCAGGAGTTAGTCACCCATTCAATATCTTAGTAGTCGCAAGAGACTACAGTCCAGTCTGATGATTTGCCTCTTTCCTCACCTTTTAAAGGCTGTTGTTTTGAAGTTCCTTTTCCAAGCATATGTGAAATTCTGTGGGTGTCTCTTTCTCTCTCTCTCCTGCCAATCACTTAATTTACATATACTGCCATTTTTGACGATTTCAGTCTCTTTCGTTTGGGAAAAAAAAACGTTTTAAAATCCCTTGTTAAAAATGTGCTCAGAACATCAGGGTTCTGACCTATAGTCGCGACACTTTGTAAAAAGAAGAGCTGGAGGAGATGTTGTATATACTGATGCATTTTTTCCCCTTCCTTTCCTCAGGTTGCAGACAAACTAGTCAAGACATTTGCAGAGCAGATATTTTACACTGGGTTCATCCATGCTGATCCCCATCCCGGAAATAGTAAGTCTTAGGTGTAGGGCTCCAGATGACTCTAATTTTTGGTACAACCGCTACAGAGGAGAAGATGACAGTTTTAACCAAAATTAATTTATATCATGATAACAGGAACTAAAGGGGAAGACAGTACTTTGCAATCAACAACACTGGCATTTATAATGGCATCTTTAACATGTGAACTTGCTCTACAGGAAAACTTTCAAACAAAATATTTGGATAAATGCCTCCAAACTTAGAAAAGAGCTAGGCTTTAAAGAGCATTTTATAAGAATAGAGAACACGGAGAGTTAGAAAGAAATTCAAGAACTCTAGTCCAAGGCAGCTGAAAACACTGCTGCCAATTATGCTGAGATTGAAATTGGGAATCCTGAAGAATTCAGAGTTTTGGCAAAGATTTGTAGCTTGGGTTGTGGCTGAGGTTGTTGACTTGCTCATCGAGCTGGCTTGTTTTCGTTCAGCCGTTTCGTCGCCATGTTAGGTAACATCAACAGTGGAGCCTCCAATGAAGTGTTGTTCTTCTCCGCTTGGAATTTATACTGTTTGGTCTTCTACCTGTAATGCAATCAACAAAGACATAGAATTGGACCCCATATAGATCAAAACAGGAAATGACACTACTCACCATAATGGACCAGACAGTATAAATTCCAAGGGGAGTGGAATAACATCGCTTCATTGGAGGCTGCACTGATGATGTCACCTATCATGGTGACGAAACGTCTGAACAAGAAGAAGCCAGCTCTGCGAGCAAGTCAACAACCTCAATCCTGAAGAGGCCTGAAATAAAGGAGTATAGAGATCTCAAAGTTGCAGGGCTGGAGAGATTAATGGAGATCTAAACATGAGAATGAGAATTTAGAAATTCGGCGTATTTCTGATTAGGGATTTAGGTCAAGCGAGGTAAACGGATTACACATGAAGACAGTAGCGTGACTACCTTCACCATGAGCAGTATACAGTACTTTTAAAGTGAACCTACTACATGTCAACAATTTCTCACAGTGCCTCACAGAAACATGATCACATTGAAGTAAAGTGTGTATGAATATATACAGAGATGAACCACTTTGCAACAGAAAGATCTCTGAAACACCAGTGAAGTAAAAACCAGCTCATCTGTTTTGAGGCAGGAATATAGGCCTAGGAGACCGGGAGACTCCCCTGATCGGATCTTTATTACCTATCTGAATAGGTCGACATTCTTCCCTCAATCACATATTGAACATATTTCTGGTTCCAATCTTTTTTTCTCTTCCTGTGCCTCATGTACTTCCTTTATATCCCTGTAAGTCAGTTTCATATTTTCCTTTTTCCTTTTTGTGCAGTTTTGGTAAGGAAGGGCCCTGATGGAAAAGCAGAACTGGTGCTCCTTGATCACGGGTTGTACGAAAGCTTGAATATAAAGTAAGTGCTTTTTAAAAAAAAGGTTTTGTTCTTGATTTTTGTCTACAATTATTATTTGTTCACAGAATGTGGGTATTTCCGCTGCTTACCTTACTTTCTCTAGCATTTCAATATGTTGCCATGGTAGGATGTTATTGCTTTCAGACCACAAACCCAAATAATGCTTTAATGAGCAGCTTGTAGCTCCTATTATTTTGTAAAGGTGGGTAACAAGCTCTTGAGACTTTTGAAATGAAAGAAAGTTTGATTATAACTGTGTTTATCTGAGTTTATAAATGGAGCTATGGAAGATGTCTTAACATAGCGTGTCATTTGGACTCAGGTCACAAAGACAGCTGCACTGCTGAGGAAATCCAGTTGTGCAAACTTTTCCCTGGTAGAAGAGAAAGTTGAGAGGAGATTTAATAGAGGTATTGAAAACCAGGGCGGGGGGGTCTGGACAGGGTACAAAGGGAAAATTTCCCATGGTTTGAAGGCTTAAGAGCAAGAAGGTGCAGATTGGAGACATAAGAAACATTTTCGTGTAGAGTGTGGTTGGGATCTGGATTACACTGACTGAGGATGTGATGTAGACAGGTTCAGTTTAGACATTCGAAAGGAACTGAATTGTTACTCAAAAAGGAAGAATACACAGGGTTATGAGGCGAAGGTGGGAAGTTGCACAATTTATGTCTGAGAGCCACTACAGAACTAATAAGCTGAAAGGCTGCCTTTTGAGCTGGAACCATTCCGTGTTTGTGACGTCTCTTAAGAATGTATTGAACTTGTCCTTCCAACTCCAAGAACCAGGGCCTTTGGGTGTTTAGAGTGTACATGTCTCTGCTACAATGCAAGCCTATGGAAAGTGGAGGCAGTTTAGCAATTCTGCAGTTTTGAGCACATTCAGCAAGCAGCAGAGCTGAGGTTTGACTTCAAAGTAATGATGCAACAAAGATAAGAACCTATAAAGTGAATGGTTCTAGAGCCAAGTTTCCCAATCTACACCACTAGCTGTGTGCCAGAAATCCATCAGAATATTTACTGTCCTGTTCTGTAAACAGACAAGTTTAGATTGTGCTCTTCTTATCTATAAAGTCTGCACAGCACTGGCCTTGCTGTCTCTGGGGTTGACTGAGTTATGCCTGTGTTTGTGCATGTTTTTATTTTGAAAGTTACAAATCACTTACAGCCCTGAGACAGCCTTGGTGAGAAAGTTAACTGTTTGCATAACTGCTAGCAGCACTGTTGTTGCCTCCCAAAATAAGACCGTTCCAGGTAGTTTGGGAAAACTGATCTTTGGGAATCTATAGGCTACCAGATGAAATTGTTCACAGTTCCCATCCTTTTTCTTTATTTTGGCAGACCCGAATCTGTGCTTTGAGCATCACCTAGAATTTCCCCTGTTTAACTCTACTGAAAGTCATGGTTGTGTGCAAGAGATATTCAAGGACAACCACTGATTCTAGAACTGAGCATTATATAGGGTTACAGTCCTCTGGAGAGAACTAGGGAAGAGGTCCACAGATTCAATCAGTGGGTTTCTATTGCATACAGGTCTGGGTATTTAAACAAAAATAATAAGTTGGCTATAACATGAGTCAGTTCTCAGAGTCAAGGTAGGATCTCATATGTTGCATCCAAGAATATAGTTTTGATTCTGATCCTTTGCGCTTTTAGTTCGTTCACGGAAAGGATAATACTCCCAACATATACAGACCACATAAAAAGTCATTTTGTTATCCCCTCCATAAACTCAATTGCATGCCTTAAAATCGAGGAATCTCTTCCTCTCCCTTGAAGATGAGACATGAAGATTAAGTCTCCACCCCAAACCACACATATGACATGTTTAGGAAGAATCAGTCTAATCCACTTATTCTCCAGATTTCGATGAAGTCACATACAGAATAATGAGGTACTGCATTTGCCTAGGGTAAGGGAATAGACCAGAAATAGTGGCATACTGAAAAATATAAGGGAACAAAAAAAACTTGAGTGCATGTCTCTATAGATCCCTGAATGTAGCAGGAATGCAGTGGATAGGAAAGTATACAGAAAACTTTCCTTTATTAGAGATAGTAGGAACTGCAGATGCTGGAGAATCTGAGGTAACAAGGTGTAGAGCTGGATGAACACAGCAGGCCAAGCAGCATCAGAGGAGCAAGAAGGCTGACGTTTCGGGCCTAGACCCTTCTTCAGAAATTTCTCACTTTTTCCTTTATTAGCCAAGATTTAAAAATATGGGCAGCAAGGTTATGCTAGAACTGTATTAAATGCCAGTTAGTCCATAGCTCCTATGGAATGTGTAAAGTTTGATCACCACATCAGCAGCATGACTGAGAATATAAAGAAGATTTATGAGGATGTTGACTGGAATGGAGAATTTTTGGCATTGGAACAGACTAGATGTGTTAGGCTTGTTTTCTTTGGAACGCAGGAGGCAGATGGGAGTTTCAGCTGAAATGTCAGCCTTAGGTCAGTTTGTAGCACACTTGCCTGTGAGTGAGAAGGATGCAAGTTCAAGTTCTACTTGCAGAGTTTGAGCACAAAGTTAAGGTTGGCACTCCATTGCAGTGCTGAGGGAGTGCAGCACCGTCAAATGTTGTGTTTCTGATGAGACATTAAACTGCGTTCTTAAAACACCCCTGGCATTATGTCAAAGAGCAGGAGAGTTGGCCTTGGTCAATATTTATACCATCAATCAACATCACAAAGCAACAGATTAGCTGATCATTATCATGTTGCTGTTTGTGTTAGCTTGCAGTATGCAAATTGGCTGCTGCGTTTCATTGCACTACAGCAGTGACTAAATTATAAGTTGACTTAATTGGATAGAAATTATTTTCGAACATGTGGTCATGAAATGTTCTACATAAATGCAAGCCTGTCTTTGGTATAAACAGTATTGCAATACCTAAGTAGGTAAATAGGAACAAACCGTTTTCCTCAGCAGAGTGGACCACAACCAAAAGACATAAATTTTAAAGAAATTGGTGAAAGGATTAGAGAGTTTTTTTCCCACTCAGTAGTGTGGGTTTGAAATTCACTGCCTGAAATGATGCCAGAACCAGTAGTGCTAACTATTGAAATAGAAAAAACAACTTGGATGTAATCACAGAGCTGCAAACCGTGACCTAGATTAGGCTGGGTATGTCTTTTTCAGCCAAATCTCTTTTTTTGCCCCAAATCTCTGTTGGCACAGGAAGAGGTTGTCATTCTGTCCCCTCATGTTAGTCACTGGATATCTGAGAGTCTGGTGTTGCCACTCCTGAGTCCCCCCCCGTGACACAGATTGAGAGTCCCTCGTGCTAGCGAGGCGAGGAATAGGGAGAGAGAGCAGTTGAACACGTGGCTACAGGGATGGTGCAGGAGGGAGGGATTCAGATACCCGGATAATTGGGGCTCATTCTGGGGTAGGTGGGACCTCTACAAACGGGATGGTCTACACCTGAACCAGAGGGGTACCAATATCCTGGGGGGGAAATTTGCTAATGCTCTTCGGGAGGGTTTAAACTAATTCAACAGGGGGGTGGGAACCTGAATTGTAGCTCCAGTGTACAGGAGGTTGAGAGTAGTGAGGTCATAAATAAGGTTTCAACCCTATCGCAGGAGTGTACCAGCAGGCAGGAAGGTGGTTTGAAATGTGTCTACTTCAATGCCAGGAACATCCGGAATAAGGTGGGTGAACTTGCAGCATGGGTTGGTACCTGGGACTTCGGAGACATGGATAGAGCAGGGACAGGAATGGTTGTTGCAGGCTCCAGGGTTTAGATGTTTCAGTAAGATCAGGGAAGGTGGTAAAAGAGGGGGAGGTGTGGCATTGTTAGTCAAGGACAGTATTACGGTGGCAGAAAGGACGTTTGATGACAACTCGTCTACTGAGGTAGTATGGGCTGAGATTAGAACCAGGAAAGGAGAGGTCACCCTGTTGGGAGTTTTCTATAGGCCTCCGAAAAGTTCCAGAGATGTAGAGGAAAAGATTGCAAAGATGATTCTGGATAGGAGCGAAAGTAACAGGGTAGTTGTTATGGGGGACTTTAACTTTCCAAATATTGACTGGAAACGCTATAGTTCGAGTACTTCAGATGGGTCAGTTTTTGTCCAATGTGTGCAGGAGGGTTTCCTGACACAGTATGTAGATAGGCCAACAAGAGGCGAGGCCACATTGGATTTGGTACTGGGTAATGAACCAGGCCAGGTGTTAGATTTGGAGGTAGGAGAGCACTTTGGTGATAGTGACCACAATTCGGTTACGTTTACTTTAGCGATGGAAAGGGATCGGTATATAAAGCAGGGCAAGAGTTATAGCTAGGGGAAAGGCAATTATGAGGCGATGAGGCAAGATTTAGGATGCATAGGATGGAGAAGGAAACTGCAGGGGCTGGGCACAATTGAAATGTGGAGCTTGTTCAAGGAACAGCTACTGCATGTCCTTGAGAAGTATGTAACTGTCAGGCAGGGAGGAAGTGGTCGAGCGAGGGAACAGTGGTTTACTAAAGAAGTTGAATCTCTTGTCAAGAGGAAGAAGGAGGCTTATGTAGAGATGAGGCATGAAGGCTCAGTGAGGGCGCTTGAGAGTTACAAGTTAGCCAGGAAGGACCTAAAGACAGAGCTAAGAAGAGCCAGGAGGGGACATGAGAAGTCTTTAGCAGGTAGGATCAAGGAAAACCCTAAAGCTTTCTATAGGTATGTCAGGAATAAAAGAATGACCAGAGTAAGATTGGGGCTGGCCAAGGACAGTAGTGGGAAGTTGTGTGTGGAGTCCGAAGAGATAGGAGAGCTGCTAAATGAATATTTTTCGTCAGTATTCACACAGGAAAAAGACAATGTAGTCGAGGAGAATACTGAGATACAGTCTATTAGACTAGACAGGATTGAGGTTCATAAGGAGGAGGTGTTAGCAATTCTGGAAGGTGTGAAAATAGATAAGTCCCCTGGGCCGGATGGGATTTATCCTAGGATTCTCTGGGAAGCTAGAGAGGAGATTGCAGAGCCTTTGGCTTTGATCTTTATGTCGTCATTGTCTTCAGGAATAGTGCCAGAAGACTGGAGACTAGCAAATGTTGTCCCCTTG